TGGGTTCGAGTCACTTCTGGGGTGTGAGTTTTCAGTTGCATATTGTCCTGGGGACCATTCAGGCTTGTTCGCATATATATATATATATATATAATTTATATTTAAGAGTTGTTACATGTTGTAAAGCCAGAAGCACTCGTAGCGTTTTGGTCAGGGACACTAACTAGTCAATCTCCCTGCGGCTTTTAAGTCACCGGTCAGGGTTAGTGTCGCTAAGACAAGATCTGTTGATACAGACGGGGCAGCTTCTGTGTTATACTCGCACAAGTATATGCTGCCCGTCATGTCTGATGCCGTACGGTATCCTGCAGCTCTAGTTTACAACCATGTTTCCAAACTGATACTTACCTGTTTATAGTTCTGACTAAAACATTCCCAATTTGTATACATTGTTTGGTTTTAATTGTGTGGGGTGTATTGGGCATCCTATTTCATCCTCTTTGTTGTATCATCGTGTATCTTCCGTGCTTCAGTAACATCTCCCTCTTGACTCTTCACCAGTGTACAGACTTGAAAGTAAGTTTTGTTAATATCTTCACAAGGAAGACTTCACTCCTAGAATGAACTTGTTTAAGATTCGCTACTTGGAACAAAAAGTTCCAAGTAGCACGGGCTATGGTGAGCCCGTAGTACATTGAACTTGTGCTTCTTTGTATACTTTCAAGGGTGGGGATGGGAGGGGGTTGGGGGTAGTAAGTCCTATTGGACGGCGGCCAAAACCCAACTGCACTATCCTGAAGAATTCTAAGTCTATTAAAGACACTATAACGCTGAAGAATAACATTACATGTCTTACCCTTTTAGCCTCGGAATTTAAACTTGTTTCCGTACTAACCATAACTCACTTTTTCTGCATTTAGATTGGCAAGACCTGGTATATTGAGAGGTCTTGAATTGATATTTACTTGTCATTTCCTTGGCCCCAAATGTTACTTAGTGTCTGCATTAAATTCGTCATAAATTCATCCATTTTAATGTCTCTATATAGTCTTCTAGCTAATTTGAGGCATAAAGGTAATTTATATCGTTCCTTGGTATCGGGAAAATATGTTGAGGTTAATGTGCAATCATGTGCCTAGGTCGTTTATATTAGCTAGGCCACGACTAGGGTTGACAAGAGGTCTGGGAGTACCCCCCTAGGGCACTCCAGGGCTTTTCCTGCCTGGCATTGCTGCATGTAGACTGACCCTATATCCTTTGAAATAGTCGAGCCGTTTCCAATTTTAAGATGTCTTCTCCAGTTCTAATTAGTCTAATCATACTTTCGTAAGGTGTAGTATGACGGTTTTACGCATTGTGTATTGTCTAAGATTACTTAATGTTGGAGCGCCGCCGTGTGCGCAGGTGGCCAGGACGGATGGAATGGGGAGTCGTATCTACCGTTGAATCGTCTCTCACAGGATGCCTCTGGAGCCAACACTTGTAACTTTCCAGGTTGACTGCACTCGAATGACGACATGGAGCTGAAGGAGAACTAGCTGAACTCGCACCTCGTATCACTTTAGATAAAAGGCTTCACATAGAGCAGCAATCAGGATGCAGTTTTAGCCATACACATGCACCTGGTTTGGATAAGTTCTGGGCTTCTCTGACGGCTCTACGAGTGGAAGGAAGGGCTGTCACAACCGCTGGCGAAGGTCAAGACAGCAGTGACCCTTCTCCGCTATCTGCTACGCTCTATAGCCCATCATGTGGCGGCGACCTCTCCGTAGGGTGCAGTCGCACCTCCAAGATCTCCAGTATCAGCTAATGATACTGGTAATGGCTCCAAAGGGGCCACCACTTACGGGCTATTCATGCCCGTGCCACCTTTTGGGTGGCTTACTCTTCATCAATCACTCAGTATAACTAGACATAAGGCACCAACCATGATACCTGGTTGATGGGGTTCTGGGAGTTGTTCTACTCCAAAAGTCCGGCCCGAGGCCACGCTTGACTTGTGAGAGTTTCAAATGGTCTGAACTGCCCATGTGATCCCCGATCCTTAGATACCCTACACGAGGTACTTGTGTTCTCAGATAAAGGTGATAACCAATGCTCAGTGCACGGCACAGCACTGCTCAGCACAGCAGCCATGAGGGTACAAGTCTAGCTGAGGACACCATTCTCTCATACATAGTGTTATATAATCTGCTTCAGTTATACCTGAATGACAGGTTTGGTAATTCAATACCCCGCGACTTTTATTAATGGGGTTTTAATGCTTACGAATGACATTTTGACAATGACAATAACAAATCCATAAGGACCGTGACGAGGATTCGAACCTATTTTTTCAATGATATTCTTCAAGACGCTAGTGCTCTCTAGAGTGGAATATTGCTACACAATGACAGCCCCTTTCATAGCTGGAGAAATTGCTGACCTGGAGAGCGTGCAGAGATCCTTTACTGCTAGAATCCACTCGGTAAAACATCTAAACTACTGGGACCGATTAAAATGCCTAGATCTGTGTTCTCTTGAGCGCAGGCGGGAGAGATACATATTACTGTATACTATTTTCCACGTATGTATAGAGGGGCTGATCCTAAACTTGCACACAGAAATAACATCACTTGAGACCAGGAGGCATGGCAGGATGTGCAGAATACCCCCGTTGAAGAGCAGAGGTGCAACAGGTACTCTGAGAGAGAACTATCAACATCAGAGGCCCGAGACTGTTCAACACGCCTCCACTACACATAAGGGACATAACTGGCAGACCCCTCACAGTGTTCAAGAAAGAACTGGATAAGCACCTCCAAAGGATACCTTATCAACCAGGCTGTGACTCATACGTCAGGCTGCGAGCAGCCGCGTCCAACAACCTGGTTGACCAGTCCAGCAACGGGGAGGCCTGGTCGACGACCGGGCCGCGGGGACGCTAAGCCCCGACAACACCTCAAGGTAAGGTAACCAAGGTATGTGTGTGAACCGGAGAAGTCGATGGGGGTAGTGACAACTGACCCTAGTGTAAGCCAAATTATACATTCTGTGGGTGGTGAGAGTAGTGACTGAGGCAGAGTAGAGGTGAAGGCAGCGTTGGTAAGGCGAGCCTAGGAAACCTGCACCACAGGTCTTGGCTGCTGCTTCGTATTGACACACATTCTCGCTCCGGTAAATAATAGTGACGCGGCGCTTCTTTTGTGCGGGTATTTGGGGGTGTGTGAGGCCGTGTGCAGCTCTGGTGCACCCGCCTGCTATCACCGCCTTCACCAGTTGGGGAGTTGGTACCTGTGTTGTTCTGCTGGTGTCCGCCTCTGCCACTAGCTACGAGATCTCTGTCACTAGATCTCTGATCTGTCACTAGTAGAGATAACGCTATGCGTTATCTCTACTCCCATGTCTGACCTTGTATGCTTCATGAAGTAGTCTACCTTATTCTCCAGTGTGTAAGGATCTTCTCACTCCTCCTGGCCTGCTTGATACCTGCTTGATGGGGTTCCGAGAACTTCATTACTTTGCATTTGTCTGCGTTGACGTTCAGTAGCCATTTTTTTAGCTTTTGAAAAGTTTTTTATTGTGGAATATCAGACGCAATCACCTTCTCGATAAGTCTTGTTTAGCTTCGCTTAATCCGCAAACATTGATATGAAGGAGACAATTTAGTGAGATATTTGGAACACTGGAAGAGAGGATGGAGGAAGAGCTCCGGTATCGACCCTACCTCCAGTCTTCCTTGAAGAGGATCCAGGGGTCAGTGTCCTTAGACCCGCCTGATTGACAGTCCGATCGACCAGACTGTTGGTTGCACAGCTCGGTAGCCCACTCTTTGAAAGTGCGTGTATCAAGCTTCTTGATGAACACGAGTCTGTTAGTAATATTGCATTAGATGTGTGTATTTTTTTGCTTTCACATAATGTTGGTTCTCTTTCCTGCGAGGCGTTTAAGTGCCATATTGTGCCAATTATCTAGAGGCACTGTCTTAAGTTTGTATTAACCAGCTGTTCTTGCAGGCGTATTTCTGTCAGGTCTTAGGATATATACTTCTTCCCAGTGAATAATTATTAGAATTGACTTCTCAGAATTCTGGAAGTCCTTAAGACGTGCGTAGATCTGTTGTCTAGTATATCCGAACTTCGATTAAATTGTGGTCTGAGATGTATGTGAATACATTCATATTATGTTTATCATTGCGAGAATAAGGTGTAATGATACCGGCTTGATGGGGTTCTGGGAGTTCTTCTCCCTAAGCCCGGCCCGAGGCCAGGCTTGACTCTACTGGTTGCCTGACCAGGTTGTCTGACATTCGGGTTGACTGGCTTCTGAATGTCTTCTGGTTGGCACTACTATTTACTGGTTTGTGAAATTTGTCATGTCTTATTAAGCCGTTTGTATGAGACGTTTCCGTTATTACTTCCTGTCGTAACAGTGCTCGACCTGTTTCCCGTTTTAAGCGGCAAACTGAAGTCATCAAACAAGAATTTTGGAGTCGGGTTGATGCAAGAATCAAGAGCGACGACCTTGATTCTTGCAGTGTCGGCGCTCGATCCCGGATGGTGGTGGCGGTGGAGGTGGTTGGGCAGCGGTCCTTCACCCCGCCCTTGTATGCTTGTCAAGACCTGTTATAATCATACGTGCCTCGCGCTTTCTTCTGATAATTACCTTGATAGCTTTCCCCTAGAGTTGCATCGGCCGTCTGTCAAATTCTGAAGACTTTCTGATTTTATTGCAAGGACACGAACTAATATTTTCAATTTGACTCCCAACACTTCCAGCATGTTATACTGTTGTGGAGCTTGGTGCAGAGAGTGAGGTGATATTCTGGGCACGATGACCTGCCAAAGTTAGTCTCTTGTGAGGGCTTCCAGGAAGACACTGAAGCCTCGCCAGCGTCCTCACCAACTTGCCTCTTGGCCATCCGTCTCCAACTCACTCTCTCCCTCACCACAACCATCCAGCACTCGTTTCCAAGTTGCAGAATACTAATATCGTTGGTTAATAAATATATTTAATTGTATTTCGTAATATTTGTGAATGTTTCTAAGTTATTGTGCATTAAACAGGTATTTCTTCCACAGGTACGTTGTAGATGTAGTGGTACCAGGGTCCCGGTAGGACTGGCAATTCCCGGTAAGTACTTTGGTCCCGGTTCTTGTAATGAGGGTGCCAGCTGGGCCGGTCCTTGCGGCGACGGTGCCAGCTGAAATCAATAGTAATACGAACACAATATAACGTACTGTGTGTGTGTAAAGTGTTCGTACAGTAATACGAACACACATGTGGTACACCGTCCATCTCCCTTCCCCCTCCCCCTCCTAGTTTGTATCCTGGCTGTACTCTGCTCTGGTACAAGGAGCCAACGCCTTCACTAGTCTCTGCACGAGGCGGGTTCACTACAACTATTAACTTCCCCGCGTCCTGCCAAAGTGAGTGTTGCACGAGTCGAATAAGAACACTGAAAATTGAATGAGTGAAGACAGACGGACCTCTCGTGTCGAGTGAATTAAGTTATTATTGTCCACATTAATGTCTCGAGTCCTTTCCCGTCTCCAGTTGCAAGTGGTTTTTTTTATTGCAAGTGCTTGCAATTTTCTCGCGACCTTGACCTTTGAGTGTCATCCGGAGTCATTCATAGAGAAAGTGGGGGAGGGGGGACCACCTCGTACTCGGGTCGTGTTAAGGGAAGTGACCCCGACTCTGGTCGTGTTAGTCTGACCTTCCATTTACGTCCTAAAAGTCGTCTATAGTATATAGACGACTTATATATAGTATATATATAAAAGACGGTTTAGTAGCTTGGGGGATACACTCCTTGAGCTTTGCAGTGTGACTGGTGGATGTGTGGGGATTTTCGTAAGGGGGTGGATTCGGCCCCTTGTGAAGTTGGATAATGGAAATTTACATTCTGGGGGCTCCAAAAAGCGTAAAATGGCACCATCTGATGGTTAGTGAAGATAGTGTGTAGTGAGAAATGTTGTTGTTTTTAGATTAAGCTACTCAGAACAAAATGTCCATGTAGCACGGGCTATGGTGAGCCCGTAAAGTGAGAAATGCCAGGCTCCACCATTGAGTGCGTGCGTGCGTGCGTACACGTGCAAGTAGCACGGACTCACTATAGCCCGTGCTACTTGCAACGTTTTGTTCACAGTTGCTGAAACTAAAACAACAACAACAACTTGATGGCTCACTTGCCAGCATCGTCACGTTAAGGTATGGTTGCTGTGTTAACGATTATCGGAGGTAATGAAACTTTACCTTCTTAATACAATCTTGTTTCAACTACAGAACAACTATTTTCGTATATCTGAACTGTATAATAATGCATAATGTGTGTACTTGATAGTTACATAGTATTGCTGTTAAATAAATGAAGCAGCAAGCAGTGTATGTACAGATATAATAAACTGAATGGAGTAACCGGCGGGGTCCGGGTCTCTCATCCCTCCTCTCTTCCCCCCCCCCTTCCCCCCATCACCTCTAATGACCAAAGTTGTTAACCAGGTCAATCTGTTTTAGAGGTTCCGGAAGCCTTTCCTTGTGTGGTAACCCTGGCAAGGGTGGTGGTGTGGGCGCCCTCGTGGCCTGGTGTGTGTTGTTATTTGCTTAGCTAAACGAACTAGAGGGTTCAGTTCCTGAACTGATTATGTGCCTCTGTAATCCTTTACACCACCGCCCACGGGATGGGTATGGGGTGCATAATGAAGAAAGGAATTGAATTGTGTGTGTGTGTACCGGCGTCTTGAACACGTTTAAGATGTGTTGCATGCGGGCCTCGTGTTTACACAGCTAATGCGCCCGCATGCGCCTCCTGTCTCTGCCTCTTCTCGCCTCCCTCTCTGACGGTAAATGTGTCAGTCACGTGGGGACAGGTGTAACACACAAGCCATGCTCGCAAAATAACATTTGTTTGTGCACCGTAGATTTTGTTTTGACTGGTAAATACAGCATAGTTTACGCTCCTAACCCCATTTTCTGCAGCACGAACTGCGTGACAGTCGCTGGTGTTGTGGACAGGTGTCGCTGTGTCCTCCTCGGAACACTGGCCATTTGTAACGTTCCCGCCACCGCTCACAAGATGGATATGGGGCTCCTAAAGAAACTAATCTCCTTGAGCGAAGCTTGCGTCCTCTGATGACCCTGAGGATAGTCCAAGCGGCATTGAGCGCCTTCCTTTGGCCAAAGAATAATGGGGTGTTCTATTCTTTTTAGTATAGGATCTATTTGGTTAGAAAACCGTGTTTTATCAGGCTGACTGGTGTGTGGGGTAAGATTGTGGGGAGGGAAGAATTGTGCGGTGCTTATCAAAGTTCACTAGCCAAGGGTGAGGCTGCCCTGCGGTCACCCAACCAGTTACTGTCAGTGTGTGTCTAAGCTGTGTTAATCAGCAAAGAGGATGCTAATTGATCAGCAAAGAGGCGGCCTGGTCGACGACCGGGCCGCAGGGACGCTAAGCCCCTAAATCATCTCAAGGTAACCTCAAGGTAAGATAAGGTAATCGTGGTGATATGAGAGTAGCAGCAGCAGCCCCTCGCTGTTCTTCAGTTCTCTCTGTTCTTACTAGCACTCCTGGTACTTCCTGCCATCACCATAGTTCCTCATAGTGATGAGTGGTCTAAAATTCATTGAGAACATGGTAGTGTCATTGTTAGTGGTGGTGGTAATGGTGGTGATGGAGCAGGTCTCACCTCACCTGCTGCACTGTACCCCAGTTGTGCTCGTCTAGTATGCATATTTAATACTGATGTCTCCCCGACCCATGAACGGTCCACATCTTGCAATCAGTGTGAATACCCACTCAGCATCACTCCCTAAACCTCGCTGTGCTTATTAAGTTTATGATGGTCCTTGAAACGCTTGGCATTCTGTGCGCGAGCTTGGTTGTAGCAGCAGCAGCAGCACCAGCAGCAGCAGCAGCAGCAGGAGGAGGATGGATCAGGGTGAAGTGTTGATGGTGTGGTAATCTCCAGATAACAGGTGTACCCTTGCCAAGTGAAGCGGCCGATTATCTCAGTACTGTGGTTAAGACGATCTTGACTCACGGCAGCTTTGTGTGAGCCGCCAGCTGTGACGTGGTGTAACCGCCCGGGGTGTGGAAGCCATCACCCGCCAGGCCACGTTGGTCACTGTTTGGCTTGTCCTGCACGACTGCTTGCAGGAGCAATAACCCCCCACACTCCGAGGCGTCAACACTTCCACAAGTCTGAGCCTAACACCACCACGCTGCCCTATACTGGAATTTGTTCAAATTTGCCACCTATTTACAACTAGGTGAACAGTGGCAGTTGGTGAAAGGTAACTTGCCCAATCATTTCTGTCCCGCCTGGAAATAGAATCCTGGACCTGCGATTGTGTGGAGAACAAAGCCAACTGTACTGAGAGACCCGTACATTGTGTAACATCTCATTGTCTACACTACTATTGAAACAATCGAGCGATCCCATATCTATATGATCTTTGGGAACCTGTTTGATGTGGTCCAACACCACCCATCACCACCACCCATCACCACCACCCACCACCACCACCCACCACCATCACCCACCACCATCACCCACCACCATCACCCACCACCATCACCCACCACCATCACCCACCACCATCACCCACCACCATCACCCACCACCATCACCCACCACCATCACCCACCACCATCACCCACCACCATCACCCACCACCATCACCCACCACCCCACCACCACCCACCACCCCACCACCACCCACCACCACCCACCACCACCCACCACCACCCCACCTGAAACATGACAGATGTGTGATGCCATCAGAGGACGTCAGCTAAGCACTGTTAGAGAAAAGTTCTGACGTAATCAGTAGTGCAAAGCGTTGTCCACATTCACAAACTGGGGGTTTAGTGGCTGCATTAACAAGCATTTGTCCTTTGTTTATGAGATTGAGTGCACGGCCCCTCACAAGCGCTACACCTTTGCACTTGATGCACCACCAGACACTTAAACAAGTTCTTGCAAGTAGTGCTGGACCAACTAGGCTGTAGTGGGCATGTGGGCCTGCGGGCAACAGCCTGTTGGACCAAGTTATCACTAGTCAAGCCTGGCCTCGGGCCGGGCTCGGGGTAGAACTACTCCAGACACCTTCTCTAGGTTGTTGTTGTTAAAGATTCGCTACCTGGAACAAAAAGTTGCAAGTAGCATGGGCTATGGTGAGCCCGTAGGGCCCTCTCCAGGTGTGCCTCGGGTAGCACCGACTAGTGCGGCGGCTGGCTGCATACTCCATCTCCGACTTGGTTCCTGATATTATCTTCGCTTATCAACTTCAGACTATCATAATGTTCGTTGCTTTTAATTAACTCGATTTTCCTGCCGTATCTCGTCTCTTGTTTTCCGCGCGCGCGCGCGCTCATTGTGCTTGGCGGTGATGGAGTGTTGCTGTTGAGAATTGTTAGTGTTTACAGTGCAAGTTGTATTATTCTACCTCGTCACACGTCTCTTGCAACAATGTCCCGAATGTTCAGATGTTCAGAGAAGCTGCTTCCAACTGCCCCTTTAAGCCAAATGTCTATGATGCACCGCCTCCACGTGTCTGACCCCGTCACTGTGGGGAACCTTCTGTAGTTTTCTTTCCGTTTAGGAGTGCTGAGCGAGAGCTAGCAAGCTTTGAATGTGTTGTGACTTGAATAATACAGAGTATTCCACACTCTGGCTTGACTGCCGCACCTTGTATTTCTGTTGGTGGTGCTGGTGGTGGTATTCCAGCTGCGGCTACAGAAACACAGGTTGAGATGAGAGTAAGAGCTGCCTTAACATATCCCATATCGACGGTCATATATGATCGTAACATATCATATATGTTGATCGTAACATAATATCATACACATCATATGTTAACACATATGATGTGTCAGTGAGGCAGTGGTAGTTAGGGCAACTACCCTAACTGTTAGGGTAGTTAGCAAGCAGCCTTGTTAACTAGGTCACTCGGGGTCACCTCCCACGGTGTGCCGGAGCCGTGATGCTGGACCCTGCTCCATCACCCAAGTGTTCTTGCCAACACACTACCCACTACAGGTGCTCATGCTGGACATGTGTTCTTATGAGTGTATTGCCAACTTCTTATGAATTGTATTGCCAACAATACAACTCCCTTGGTTGTATTGC